CTGGGACGATTCAAAAGTGTTTTGCTGCGATTAAGAAGCCAGAAGAACCCTAGAAGTCGACAAAGAAAGCTAGAATTCAATTACGGGAGTAATTAAGGCATAATTTCATCATTCTACTTATTCTTTTGTTTTAGCAATATGATTAAGCAACTTGACTTTGTTTGTTTGCTGTTATTTACTTTAATTATGAACTAAAACCTTTAGACTTCTGTTTGGGGATATAAAGTTGACAATATGGTTTGATTGATTGGTAGGATTAATTCCAAGTTGGTGAATTTTTGTTATTTTAGCTTGCTAAAGAACCTTGTGTGTGAATAATAATTAATTTTTTTGTTAATAGGAAGATAATTGATTAGGATGAACATCTATTGATTATCAACCTCATATGATATGTGACCACTATACTATATGTCTGGGATTAATGAATATGAAACTAGAATTAATAAGAAAATTGAGTAAATTCATGTGCAAGCTTGTAAGATGACCATCAAACAAGAGGTTAATTAAACATAATAAATTAATTAGCTATTGCAAGTCTAACTTAACCCGAATAATTAATCTAGTAAATATAATTAAATTAAGCAATTGGCCACTATTTGAGTTAGTTTATTTGCTAAGGATTAGGGTAGTGAACATGAACCTAATCACTTGAATCGGTAACCAATGAAAGAATTAATACATTGCACTATTACCTTAAAATCAACCATAGAGTTAACCGAGTTGAACTAAACAGAAGTTCCTTTCCAATTGTTGAATCTAGTTAAATCGTTATTTTCTAGTCTTAAATTAGTTATAGTTAGTAAGTTTCTAGTCTTGTAAAACTAGAGAAAACCCCCATTTCTTAATCAACTTAGATAAAATTAGTTTTTAATTTAATTTGCCGTTCCCTGTGTTCGATACCCTGCTTATTTAGCTATACCACAATTGATAGGTTCACTGACTTTTGTGTGTTATTTGATAATTAAAGTAGGTTTAAAACTAAGTGAGTTTTACACACATCAGGCATGGTCGTATTTTGGGAATAGTGGGCCAGTTTATCTGTTTTGGGCCACAGATGTTTTGATTGGGCCTTATTGGGCCATGAGACCCATTAATGATTTTTTGACATGGACTTTGGGCCCATTAGCAAAGGAAGAATATATGGGCCTTTATGGAAGGACTTAGGGTTTGGGTTTCCATTTGATCAAGCAAAGTTCTAACATTGGTTAATATTATTATTCAGTGTGGGCGGATGCAGATAGTTAGGAGATCGGTTTCGTATTCTTCGGATAGAGGTGAGTCTTCTCACTATACCCATGGGTCTAAGGCACCAAAGTCGGCCCATTATGTGATTATGGAATATGTGTTAGTAAAGACCATGTGGGGTAGCCCATGGCACGAAGGTGTAAGACCCTGGGGGGAGCCCACGGGATCCTTACAGGTTTTTGTATGTGCATGTAGGATGATAGTCATTTATGTGATTTGATATGTTATATTATTGTGTGTTATTGCATGAAAGACCCCCCGGGGGTGGCAATTGGATGTAAGACCATGTGGGGTAGCCCATGGCATTCCCAGGTAAAGACCATCACCACCACCCGCCAACACCACCTCCTCCCATCACCAAAACCACCACCCACCCATCACTACCACTCACCCACTACCCACCATTATGACCACCACCTGTCATTACCACCAACCACCAACCACCACCCATCACCCATCACCACCACCAGCCTTCACCATCCATCACCACCGCCACCCATCACCGCCACCCACCACCTATCATCGCCACCTGCCTCTACCACCCATCACCACCCCACCCATCACCCACCAAAACCAACATACACCATCACCACCCTTACAACCAACCCCCACCCACATGCCCACCACCACAACCTATCACCTTCACCCGTCTCCACCGCCCATCACCACCACTCACCACCACCACCTGCCACCTACTATAATTACCAACCTACATGCCACCCCTACCACCACCACCTACTACCTACCACCACCACCCATCACCACCACTTGTGATTATCTATATATAATCACATGTGATTATTTATATTTAGTCACATATGATTTATATGGAAAACATTCTTTTTTATACATATAAATCATGTGATTGGATACATATAATCACATGTGATTAGATATATTTTATCAAATATGATTAGATATATTTAGTCACATATGTTATTATTGCATTCTCGATTCAATAATTAATTTTTGTCAACTTTAATCATATGCGATTAGATATGTATAATCACACGTGATTATATGTATCCAATTACATATGATTTACATGAACAATATTCATTTTTGATTTTTCATTTCAATAAATTTTCTCATATATTTAATCATATATGATTATAAGTATTTAATCACTTATGATTAATGTGGATATAAATTTGTTTAAATGTCCTTGATTCAATAGTTGTTATCGTATATATAATTACATATGATTTATTGAATCAAGAACGTGAAAACAAATCTTTTTCACATAAATCGTATGTGATTAAATACAAGAGACGAACTATTGAATTAAAAACGCAAAAATGAATATTGTCCACAAAAATCATATATGATTAAATACATATAATCACATGTGATTATATGTACCTAATTACATATGATTTATGTGGACAAGATTTATTATTTCTTTCTTAATTCAACAGTTGTACACATGTACTTAATCACATGTGATTATATGTATCAAATCACATATGATTTATATTGATAATATTTGTTTTCGCATTTTTGATTTAATATTTTTTTCTTATGTATTTAATCGTATGTGATTGTATGTATTTAATCACATATGATTAATGTGGAAAAAGAAAAATTATTGAATCAAAAACGTGAAAATAAATCTTGTGTACAGAATTCATATGTGACTAAATGTACAAGAGCAACTATTGAACAAGAATGCGAAAAATGAATGTTGTCCATATAAATCATATATTATTAGATACATATAATCTCATGTAATTAAATACACAAGAACAACAACTAAATCGAGAACGCGAAAATGAATATTTTTCACATAAATTCTATTTGATTAGATATGGTAGTAATTTACTAAATATATTTTTATAATATGTAAAATGTCCTTTCAAAAAGGGTTTAGTCTTTAATAATAAAAATGAATGGATGTTGAATAGAAATTATGGTTTTGCTTATTTATATATTAAAAAAATTTAATAAATAAAATTGAGAAGATATTAAATGGAAGAGCGTATAGTAATTTGAATAAGAATGTCTACTTTACTAGTCAATAGGTAGTTTCGAACAAACAATTTTGTATTGAGGAGAACCCATTTGTCATGCATAGGAACAAGAGACAAAGAAAGCCTAGTACAAAAGTTACTTTTGAATGGTTATGTCAGTCCTAATTTTTTTTTTTATTGTTTTAAAAAAGAATGTGTTGTATGAATACATATTTTCACTCTTTAATTTACGTAAACAGATTTTTCATTGGGAGTTTCACTTGAATTATTGCCGGACACTGTCTTTTTTCTTTCAAACTTTCATATTTTGAGGATAAAAATCAACAAAAGTGAGTTTATGATGTACAGGAAAAGAAAAAAAATAAACAAGAGATCTAAAAGAAAAGAAACTTGCCAGAAACAAAATTTTACCGTTGATTCTTCTCCCCCTCCTCTACTAACACATCGAACCACCTTTGATCCATGTAAACCTTCACAACTTGGTTCCTCTTCTAGACAACTTCTATCGAAGGAACCATTGGCATATTCTAGTCGATGTTGATTTTAGTCAACTTGTTAGGGTGTTTCAAAAGTCAATGAAAGCCTAGCCTAACAAAAAAGCAGGTGAAAATGAAGGCAACGACGACGAAACCAGATCCGGTGGCCGGTGAAACAAAGATGACTCCTTGATTTTTGGTGAGAACTTTAACCTGATAGCATCGGAGGCAGATTCAATGGCGGTAGTAACCATTGCCGACGAAACCATATCTTGTGGCATTCCTCAGATCCGATGAAACGAGATGAGGATAGTTCTTGATATAATCTATCGTCTTCTCTGGTGGTGCTTCCGTTCTCCGTGTAAACGCAGTTTTAAACTTTCATCCTTGTTCTTAAACTACTCCTCGTTCTTAAGCTATTGGCGTTGTAGGAGAAGTATTCGTAGCCGGAAGAGTCAACGACATTGTTGAAGTTGGAGGCACTGAAATCAAAGAGGCCTTTTAAGAGAGTCGGAGGCGGTAAAACTAGATCTGGTGTTCAGTGATATGATATTGACAAATATTTTTGGTTGAAAAGAGAGTCGGATGGAGTTGGTTCAGAGAGAGGAGAGACAAAGGTGTTGTTTGTTTTTCTATAAAAACCTCTTCAAACCACTTATTGCTGCGCGGCACAACACACGCGCAACACTTTCCCTATCGCAACAGTTTGTTTTTTGGAAGGCTTCATACTACAAACCTTTGCGTGTGTGCTGCGTGGTACAACACTTGACTTGCATCTTCTAACCTCTTCAGCTTTCATTTTTTCTAAGTGTTTTTTTAAGAATTTTTGTATAACTTTTTTTTTTTTTTTTAAACTTTGATTTTCTTAAATTTTCATTTACGGATGTGATACAATTTATTTTTATAATTTTCATGATTTTTTTTAACTTGATTTTTTTAATTTTTTTTACCGTATTATTAATAATATTTTCAATTTCAGTTACATCTTTTTTAACGTGTGTAATTTTTTACGAACTTTGTAAACAACGTTTGCAATACTTTCTTAATTTTTTTATTATTTTCTTTTTTTTTAATGTTTTTTAAAATTAGTTTTTTTTTTCTAGAATAAAACTATTAGCTTCTTTTATATTTTTTTAAGCTTTTTTTTTTTTTAAAGTTTTATATATTTGTTTTTTTTTTACATGTTCTTGTTATTATTATTTCAATGTTTTAAGACTGGAATTATTAAATTTTAGTGTTGAGAACTATTTTCAGTTTATAAAATTAGTTTATTTAAATTTTAGTTTACTGCAGATGTTAAAAAACAAACATGCTTCTTATTATAGGTTGCAGCTGTTTGTTCCACCTCTTCTGCTACAGAGGATTACAGAGGTGGTCTACAGACTTCATGAATTTTTGCTTTGAAAAAACAAACAGCACCAAAGAAAGGTTGTCTCCGATGGTGGGAGGAGTAGGAGCGAATGTAGTAGATCTGGAAGTGATAAAGCGAATGTCTGGTGTTTTTGGCATTTTCGTATTTCCGGCGGCGATGCGGCGGTTCTGGCGACGTTAAGGCGGTTTCAAAGGTGATCCAGAAGATGAAGATCTAACTGACATACTAGCTTGATTGGTGGAATATGAGGGATGGGATCGGGGGTCGGTGGGTAGGATTTTTTTATTTGATTAGTAATAATTATAATAACAAATATTTAAATTTGCAGCGTGTTAAATTTTTACGGTTGAAAATTGCACTAAAATGTTCTCAAAATAATAAATGTTCTCAATTGAACGCATACATACATACATACATACATACATACATATATATATATATATATATATATATATATATATATATAATCCGAATTAAGTAGTAGATATATTAAAAACTATACAATGTAATGATATTAAGTTATGATAAATCCTTTCTAATAAATAAAGAACTTTTTGTCACTTGTCAATTACTTTTGTATTTGGACACATGTAATTTTGTGGTTAATTCTTAAAAATTAATTTGCACTTATCATTTTATGGTAATTTTTGATTTTCTTAATTAACTATTTAATTTTTAGGTTATAGAAAGTAATTAATGTGTCATTAATTTGTTTCCTTATATTTTCAAATTTTAATATATTTTCTTCAACATATATAATTCAAAATTAACATGTTTCTTTTAAAGTTCATTGTCATTTTATGCAAAATGGTCTATATAAAAAAATCAAACTTTATTGTTTTTTATTGATAAACTAAAAAAATGTTATATGATCAAAATATAATTATTTTTCTGTAGTTTGTTTTATTAATATAAATTGAATTATTTATTTATTCATCATTTTGTTTATATATATATATATATATATTATGAAAATTTATTTTAAAAAATATTTAATGCTTAGACTTTAATATTTAATGTTTTCTTTAAAAAAATATTTAAAATTCATATCTTCTTATATAATTTTTTTCAATCAATTCGTATAATAAACAGGTAGTTCATAAGTTATGATAAATTCATATTCATATCAAATAATAGAAAATTATGAAATAAATCTCTTTCGAAACTCCGATGCTTTAATAAGCCCAAATTTATTGCCCAATAATTTCATTTAAACTTTTTGCTTAGATTTACGGCCCATAAAGCCCATTTTCTTATGTGAAAAAAAATATAACTTGCGAAACTTTAGAAGTCTCTGGAGTACTCCATCTCCATCGCTCTCGGAAGACACCATTGATCTCTATCGATTATCCTCTCCTGCTAGACCACGCTTCATCTCGAAACACCAGCGCACGATCACAGGTTAAGGAATTTAATCTTTTCATTTCTATTTCTTCAACAAATTTTAATCATGCGTTGTCAAATTATGATCTGTAGTTCTGTATGTGTTGATAGTTACTGTTCAAAGTAGATACTCGAAAATAGCTCACGTCTACTGTATGTTATATACTCTTCTCATTCTGTTAATAAGCGAAATAAGATGTCTTCTCTATCATTCTATCTATTTCTTCGATAAATTTCGATTTTTTTCAATTATCATGTAATAATTAGTGCTAAATTCTGTGTTTATACTTAAAATTCAGCGTAAGTGTAACCTATATCATATTATCATGTGCGTTTCATTCTGTTAGTAGGGTAGTTTTTCTCTATCTATTTCTTCTATGAAGTTTAAACTATGCCTATTATGTATTATACTCACTATATGAGATTTAACTTGATGCAGATTACTTGAAAGAAACAAGGAAAGAACAATCCGTATGCGTGGAATAACTGCATTATTGCGAGGAAACAGTAAATTGAATAGAATCTACCCTGTTAAAGCATCATGGGGTAATACTCATACCAGTAACTTAATTCAGTTTGTTAAAGTTAAACCTTTTGTCTGAAACTAAGAAAATAATTTGCATTTTCCAGTTGCCACTGTAACACCAAAGAAGGTAAATGATGATGGTTTTGAGAAGAAAGAAGAGATGAAAAAGGAGGAAGTTGATCCAATTGTTACTTTCAGTAAGCCTCCACCTATGCCACCTGTTCTTGGACCACTTGTTCTCTTCTCGCTTTGGGAAACATGGTCAACTCCAGACGACAAGTGATAACTCAAGTTAAGTAACATTTAAAATCTTGATCACTATAACTATGTTGTAAATCTTTTGTATTAATAGAAGTATGAGTTTTTGTCACTTGACCACTTGTTCTCTTCTTGCTATGTGAACCCAATAAGTTTCTTTACTTTTGGTAATGTTTTACTGATTCTTATGTTATGTATGATCTTTGTGAATAGCCCAATAACGAAAAAGAGTTCTAAACACAATAAACTAAGAGACAAAAATTCCATTTATTGAAACATAGAATTAGATTAAAAAGGAATGAATTATGACTAACTGAATGATTTATTTGCAACATCTAGTTCAACAAGGTTAAATATAAAAAAAGATCAAGGCAAATTAAAATATTAAAAGAGGCATAATGTTTTTAGAAACTTAGAGTTGCATAAATAACTTTTTGGCGTCCGAAAGTAAAGATAAGAGAGAATGGAGAGAAAAGTTGGAATATGATATGAAGGCCAACAAAAAAACTTATAAAAAGTGGGATTCATCTAGGCAGATGGTAGAGTCGTAGAGATAACAAAGAAACCAAAGATGTAAGTGGTGTTAGACCAACTACCCTTTGGCATTTATGGTGGTTTAGAAATAACAAGGTGAGTTGATATTCTAGATTTTATTCGTGAATTTTCTTTTTTGTTTTAACAATAGAAATAGGAATTCATCTCTTAAACTCTTTGTAATTTGGGATTTCTGTAGTTTTTTGCTAAAGTGTTTTTTTAAATATTAAGTTGGTTGTTTAAAAAAAAATGTTAGGTGTTTTTCTTTTTGTTAAAAAAGTTTTTTGTTTATGTCTACAGACAGAAATATATTTGAGAAAAATATTATTTGTTTTTCAGAAAACAACATATAAAAAAATTATTTTGATATTTTTTCTAAAAGATACAAAAATTAGTTTTTTTATTTTATTTTGGAAGATGTTTTCTAAGTTTTAATCATATGTGATATTTCTTTTCCACCACCAATATCGTCATCAACATTGACACCATCGCCACCGTTGCCGCCACCACCACCTCCGTCACCCCCACCTTCCCTACCTCCGTTATCACCACATACGCCACCAACACAACCATCATTGCCACCACCAACATCATTGGCCTTTTTTTTATGAAGACTTAAAAAACAAACAATTTTTTTATAAATACTAAAGACATGGAAAAAAAAAACTTTTGATCCACGTAAATAGAAAAAGACCAAAAACCTTTTACCTTTAAAAAACGAACACAACCTTAGTAATTTTTATCTATTTCTTGGCCCATAACACTACAAGAAATATACTTTTTAGCGGCGACACTATTATCGGCGACATGGGATTTTACCGGCGACTTTAGATAAAGTCGCCGGTAAAGCCTCATGTCGCCGGTAATAGTGTCGCCGCTAAAGGGTTGACACCCGAATCCGCACTTTCCCCTTCTGTTGCATCTCAACCATTCGATGAGATATCCAATCCAACGGGTGGGGTGTGTTATCTAGTATAACCTAATACCGGCGACACAAAAGTCACCGCTAAAGGTTAAAAAAAGTCACCGCTAATAGTCCGCTAAAAATGACGCGGTACCCTTCCCTCCAGTTTGTCGCCGCTATTACTCATTGTCGCCAGTAAAGGATCTGGTGTCGCCGCTATTGCATATCGCAGATAAAAAAAAAAAAAACGCACGAAAACCTTTCATTCTTCATTTTGCTTTCTGTTTGCTTCAAATTTCCTTCACCATTTGGCCGATTTTCTCTTCACTTTGTTTCTTCCAAGCAAATTTCTCCCCACATTGTTCCAAGCAAATATCTCTTAGTGTGGTTAAAGCCTTTGGACCAATTTCTACCTCCATTTCTTGAAGAAAGGTAAGTTTATTTAGTGATTTCATTTTTATTTTGTATGTTAATTTCGATTTGTAGGTTTATTTAGTAATTAAATGGTAATAAATTGTTCATATTCTTGTTTTTGGTGGTGTTGTTTTGGATTAGAAGCAAGTTATTCAATTTCTTGTTTGTGGTTATTGAATTTCAATTAGTTGTATAGCTTCCGATTGTAGTTTAGCATTTAGGGACATTTGTTGATTATTAAAAGCTGATCTTGATGACTAAATTGCAATAAATTGTTCAATTTCAGTTATTTTGATTGTGTTGTTCAGTTTTTCCGGTGAGGGTAGTGAAGACTAGTTTTTCCGGCTACATATCCGTTGATTTCCGCCACTACATGTACTATTATTTCATTTTTTTTTTGTGAATTTTGTATTTATATGTGAAATTACTTGAAAATTGTGATATGTGAAAATTAGATTGTATATTTCGTATTTGTTTGAGTATACGTGAATTTGGTATATATATACCAATGTATGTGTGTTTGATGTATATGTGGTATATTAGTATTTGGTAGAAATTATATGTATTTGTTATAAGTAGAATGTTATTGTGTGTATGTGAATGTATGTATGTTTGTTGTAAATGTGATATATGATTGTGAAACTTTTGTATTTCGTATAAATAGGATGTTATTATGTATATATGTGAAATTATGTGTATTTGGTTTAAGTAGGATGTTATTTTGTGTGTATGTGTATGTTTATGTATTTGTATTTGGTGTATATGTGGTATATGTATGTAAAAGTATGTGAATTTCATCTTCTTATGTATTATATAAAACTATGTGGTTTTGGTATAAGTAGGATGCTATATTTGAAAAAAAAATATTGTTATAATTTGAAAAAAAACGCAAAAAAAATTATAAAATTGTTTAAAAACTTATATACATAAAAATTAATTATTGTTATAATTGGAAAAAAAACATAATATATATATATATATATATATATATATATATATATATATATATATATATAATTGTTTAAAAACTTATATACAAAAACTAGAAAGTTTTAGTTTTTACCCAAACTAACTCCAAATTAATTAACCAATAAGTTATATAGTTAACTTATAATCTTCAAATTAGTTTATAAGATTATATTTCTATAACCAATAATAATCGGTTACCATAAAAATAGGTTAAAGGATGCTATGTATTTTAATCTCGAGAGTAAAAAAGAATAACACAACATAATGTCTATTATAAAACTGTTTAATTAAAATTTTTAATTTATTTTAATTAAATTAATTAAAAAATGCATAAATAAAAATTTTTAATTTATTTTTTAATTTTTTTATTATTTAATTTTTGTATTATTTTAGATGTAAAAAATATGTGGGTTGGAAAAAAAACAATGCTAATTTTGTATACTAAACTCTAAACCTAAAATTATGTTTCAGCAACATCATGTCTATTGATAAAAGCTGGACTACTAATCCATATCGAAACCATCTCGAGTTCCAAGCAGGACTCAAAGCTTTTATCGAGAAATCCAAGTCACACCTTGATAGTAATGGTAAAATCAGATGTGCGTGTGAAAAATGTGATAACCGTTACTTCAAGTACCCGACTGCAGTTGAACGCCATATATTTATAAATGGTTTCAGTAAGGCGTACAAAATTTGGATCCATCATGGTGAATCTTTTATTCCTCCAGTCATCTTGCCAAGTAATGAAATTGCCGATTTAATCGACGATGTGATGTGGGAGTCGAGAGAAAATGATACCAACCACGATGAAGGAACCGCGAATACAATGGGGTAGCGGTGTGGATGATGATTTTGCACAGTTGTTGGAAGAAATGGAAACTCAATTGTATACTGGTTGCATCTTTTCTTCCCTTGAGTTTTTAGCAAAGTTAATGCATATCAAGGTGAACAACAAATGGACTGATAGTTCATTTGATCAACTCCTTGAGCTCTTGCAATTAGCATTTCCCAAAGGCAACAAGGTTCCCCTTTCACATTATCTAGCCAAAAAGAAACTAAAGTTTATTGGCCTGGGGTATGAGTCGATACATGTGTGCAAAAACGATTGTTGTTTCTTTTGGAAAGAACACGATTCATTGCAAGTTTGTCCCGTTTGTAAAGAGAGCCGATGGATCAATAAAAACACCAAGGGTAAGAAAGTACCTCATAAGGTGTTACGGTACTTTCCTGTGACCCCTAGACTACGACGTTTATATTGTTCGAGGCACACTGCCAAAAATATGATTTGGCATAGTACCAGACGTTCAGAAGATGGTGTGATGATTCATCCTGTTGATGGGGAACATTGGCAAGATTTTGATAAAAAAATACCCCGACTTCTCGAGTGAACCCCGTAACGTACGCCTAGGTCTTTCAGCTGACGGTTTCAATCCATTTGGAAACATGTGTAATCCACATAGCACATGGCCGGTCATACTCACCACATACAATCTGCCACCCTGGCTTTGTATGAAAGAGTCATCATTCCTGTTGACTTTGTTGATTCCAGGACCAAAAGCTCCAGGTAAGGATATGGATGTTTTCCTTAGACCGTTGGTGGAAGAGCTTAAAGATTTGTGGAACTCAGGCGTACGTATTAAAGATGCGGCGACAAACACATTCTTCACGATGAGAGCTATGTTGTTGTGGACAATAAACGACTGGCCAGCTCGTAGTAGTCTATCAGGTTGGAGTGGGCAAGGGTATATAGCATGTGCTACTTGCAATGAAGACACTCCTTCGTACCGTGCAACAAACAAAGTCGTATATATCGGTCATCGTCGTTACCTAGATGCTAATGATCCATTAAGAAAGAGGTTGGACTTTAACAGGATGGAAGAGACAAGACCCGCTCCGAGACACTTTAGTAATGATGACATACAAGATCAAATAGGTCATCTACTAACTCGTAAACCGGGTAAACATCCTGAGCATGGATGTAACGTCCGGGTTTCGGGGCTAAGCATTTTTAGATGATGTAATAGTCTAGGTCAACTATTGTAACTCTTTTTGATGTAATAAATATGAAATATTCTAATTCTATGTGAATTATGTGTATTTGTATGCTTATTACTTTATTATAAATATATATTTAATAAAGAATAAAAATAAGCGTCAAAATTAAAGTGTGAGATAAGCCCGATATCTCTACATAAAGTTGTAGTGATCGAAACAAGGATTCCGAGGATATAAAAAACGCCAAAATCCGAGTTATAACGAAGAAGTTATAGCCCGTCGAAGTTTTACGGCAAAACCGACACGACACCGGGAGACGTAAATAGTGAAT